AGCAAAGTGCATGTCGTTGTTATGCTTGTTGCAGTGTGCTGCAAAAAGTACCATGCTGCTTCGGCTCACTGCTCTGCCCAGTACACCCGACTTCTCCCTGGTCTTATTTCCGCCTCTTCAACACCGCCTCAATAATTTTTCAAAATTAACAAAGCAATTCCTTTCAAGGCTATCTGGGTGCGCTCGCAGGATGTGTCCGAAAGTTCAAGTTGTGCCTTGCGGATATGGGGTTGCTGTTGAGAGTGCGTGGATGCTGGTGGTCTTGATCTTGCTTTTCCCTGTCGAAGTGGCTGCCGACGGTGCTGGTGGCGTGGTGTGTCCGGCAAGTCTTCCCCCTGTACTTCAAGGAGTATCGTACCGAAGGATCCACCCTCTGCCGTGCTGATTTGGCACAGTTAGGCTTTAGTGTTTGGGGTTCAGGGTGGGGCTTAGGGTTTCGGGTCGTGGGAACAGGATCGAGCAATAAAGGAGCAACATCATGAGGAAGGCATGTGATGCAGGTCAAACTTATAGAATCTCTGCCAAGGCCTTTATGAAGTGGGAAATAACTTGGTGAAGCCTCATGGTGTTCAAAATCATATGTCGATCAATCGACCTTCAGGGTTTGTGGCTCAGTGATCAGCATCTGCTTCGAGGAAGTCGATCATTTTGCCAGCCTTCTGTTTGATGTCAATTGGTGTGTAAAACCCCTTTTCAGCTTGTCTAACCTCCCACCTGCTCCAAGCAGATTGAGCCAGCTTTGTATTCTACAACTCCAGACGCCAGAACGTCATGTCCCTTTTCCACAGGCTCTGGACAGGAAGTGCTTGGGAGCGCGGATCGCTTTCAGCGACATATGTTTTCTCATCCATGGTTCTGAAGAGGCACGGCAAACACTCATGCCCCCAATTTCGTCCGGAAGCTGGTCAAGAAAAGCCGACACAGTTCCTTCTAAGTCATGCTAGCCGTGAAGCTGCTTCAGCACAGTTTATGCTGTGTATGCTCAGGTCATCATGGCAACAGGAAGGACTCCGAGGTGCCGGTACTTTAAACAACTCAACCATTCAAGCTCTGAGCTGTGAGCATTTCCAGTGCCCGCAAGACTTGAGGTTCCCGACATGCGCCTGCGCTTCCTCGCTGCGGCTTTCACCTCGTTCTTTGATTCGCTTGGCCTGCGCAGCTGGACTTCATACGACATTGCGACTGCCAAGGTGATTCCTGTCTGAACAGGCCTCCTCCGCATCAAGAATGGCCTGATGCTTCTCCAGCATGTCTACGATTGCATTGCACCCATTTGTCAAGGCAAACGTCATTGCAGTCTGCCCTCGTGCTGCTTTGACGTTCATGTCGGCCTTGCATGACCGGCCGAAAAGCTTTGCCAGTTTTTCAGACTGATAAATGCAGAGAATTCGACTAAATGCAGGATGGCACCTCACAGTCCAGCAACATCTTGACACAGTCGGTGCTGTCCCTTCCAGCTGCCCACATGAGAGGAGTAAAGCCCGCCAGGTCTTGAGCATTGATGTCCGCCATGCCTTCAATGAAAGTCTCAATGGCAGCGTCATCATGTTCAGTGACAGCCAAATGCAGAACTCCACGTCCACGAGGGTTTACGGCATGAACATCGGCACCATGCTGAAGCAGCATCTGGATAGTTTCACAACGTCTTGATGCTGGTATCGCTTCGTCCCAGGTACCAGACTTCGCCAGGAGATGCAATGGTGTCTCACCTTGGCTGTGAGTATGTGGACAACATGTTCAGCCTCAGGCTCATTGCTCAAAGCCTTGTGTGACGTGTCGCCTTTTTGGCGTTGCCGTATGGCACAGTATTCACCTCAAAGCTATGGGAAGACCCTGACTTGATGTCTTTGGGGTGGCCACACGAAGGTGGCTGAAGCAACCATAAACTCAAGGCGGCTCCTGCCGATTAATACTTCATCTCGTCATTCAAGCAGCCAAACTGATCTCTGCCATCTGGATCTGCACGAGCTTCGCACAAAGCCTTGACCAGATAGGGAAAGGCTTTCTCCGATGCCTTATGCAGAGGCATTCGCCCATGCTGTCCGTGGAAATTCACAGTTGCACCTGTCAAGCATGGAAGTGCAAGCAGCAAGAGGGACTGAATCGCAAGGCGTGAACATGTGTGAACCCAACAAGCCTCTCTGTACCAGGTCTATGGCTTCTTCTTGCGTCATGCTTTTGTAGGCTGGCTCATCCAAGAGGTCCGGATCAACGTCTGGACCGCGAGGCATGTCTTCCTTCACTTCTTCCCAAGTTGGTGGCCTCCACTTTCAGTTCAAAACAGCAGCCACTACAACATGGTTACGGCGCCGGTACGGGGCCGTGCGCTGGGAGACATTTTCATGTTGGCGCCAGACGGCGTCGAGGCCAAAACTCAAGCCAAACGCGCGTTTTGTTCAGATCAAGAGCTTTCGCAGGTGCCGAAAACACTAGAAGCTCATAGGAACTTTGTGCGAAAATGCAATTTTCCCATGCGTTTCGTTGCATTTTGAAGGTTTTT